ACTGTGGGATCACTTCGATACAGTTCATGGCATTATACTTTCGTAGGTTGAATAGATGTTTGTTACACACTGCATACGTAAGACCCAAGAAGACATAAAGTCTATTAAAGCAACGACGAAAAGGGTCTTGCTAAACAAGGATCGCGCTCCAGCGATTCTTTGCGGGCCGCCTCGATCCAGAACGTCGCCTGCCGTCTGCAGCATCGCGGGCGAGCTGCGCGTGTATCTGGTCGTGCAGGCTGCTTCGTGGAACGAACGCCTTGACGAGCTCAAGCGCAGCGTGCGCGAAGTGACCTGCAAATTCAGTACGGGCTGCTGCTGTAGAGTCTGCGCATTGTGAGCTCTAGGTGTTCGATAGGCCTAAGGTTCCCGCTCCTATAATCACGTGCTCTCGGCTATCTAGCCTGTTTGGGCTTAACCTGTTTGCCATCTCGGTACACTCACCGCACTTCGGCAACACCTAGACTAGCACCTCACACAATACAATACATGGTCACCCTACCGTACAGTCCATCACTAGGTTGAGAGAGGTGCTAGCAGCGTTGAGATGCACTCACTGAAGGTGAGGCCGACAAGGTTGCCCTGAAGGACCGTTGCTCCGCTCGTAGCGTGGGTAGCGCCAAAGTGGGGCCCTTCCTAGCGGATCTGCGTGTCACTAGATCGCCCGCTTTCCCGCTGCGCAGGTAACTAGATACCGTGGCCGCGAGGGGAGGTCCATAAAAGGAGCTGCGGACCATGTCGGAGACAGTCGACACTGCGTCGGTGAGTGATGACACTGCCATAGTCTGCCTCGAAGTTCCTCAGCTGAGGGATAGCACGCGTGAGCAGGCTGCGGACGCTGAGCCGCAGTCCTGCAGCTCATCTCAGGCTGGGAGTACACTAGACCTTATGCAACAGCCCTGCGTAAGCGTCATGGAATAAGCTGCAGACCCCGCCATTGCGTTAGGCTACAGCTTGAGTTCCAGACACTAGGTATCAGCTACAGTCTCCCCGTTTTGAATTGCATTTACCAGCTTTTTCCAGTGAAGCACAACCTGCCCTATGGCCGAACGAAGCCCACAGAGGACTTACTCACAGCTCCATGACCTCGACAGCATTCGCATTCTAGAGCTAACTCGGGTCCACCAGCGAGACACCCCATTCTGCGGCCGCCTGATAACCACCAGTCTGAACGAAAGCCCAGACTATGTTGCCCTATCCTACGTCTGGGGAAAAGGGTCCTCCTCCGATCCGATACTTCATTTGGACGGACATCCGCTGCAGATCAGAGCGTGTCTTTGGCAAGCCTTAGAAGAATTGACGACTCATGTCAACCCCATCAGACTTTGGGTGGACCAGATCTGTATCGATCAGAACAACGAGAAGGAAAAGGAGCAACAAGTCCAGTTGATGTCCAGGATATACGCACAAGCTCAGCGAGTCATAGGCTGGCTAGGAAGTCATGCAGACGATAGCCACCTTGCATTTGACTTGCTTGTTATGCTAGGGCAAACCCAACATAACTCTGAATGGTGGCGCGCTGCCCATGCTGTTATGAAAGATGGGGGGTTGAAAAATATATTCAACCCAACTCTTGGACCGAGGCGAGCAACCGCCTCGCTAGTCCGAAGGCCATGGTTCTACAGGCTCTGGATCGTACAAGAGGCCGCTCTTGCCTCTACTCTTGAACTTCGCTGCGGTAGTTCTTTAATCTCGGGCGACGTTTTCTTCAACGCTATTCGAATTTTGTGTTCTGCTGTTTCCGACCTACCAATGCCCTGGCTACAGAAACCTTACCGCAATGCATACAAACTTGGACAGCTAAGAGCACAAGTACGTAAGGGGCAGAACCACTCCTTTCCCCACCTGGCCTATACACTTAGCGGATGGCTTTGTGAAAAGGACCACGATCGACTAATTGCCCTCTTTGGACTGGTTTTCCGGAACAACCAAGGGTGGTTCACGCCTAGCTACAGCATGTCGGGCCCTGAACTCTACCTTAAATTTGCGCAGGCACACATACGTCTCAAAGAGAGCTTAGACATCCTGCATTTTGCTGGCTGTGGAAATAGTGATGCACATACGGTCTCTGAAAATGATGGTCGGGTGGTACTGAAACTAAATCCCCCTTCTGACGATATTCCATCTTGGGTGCCGGACTGGCGAGTGCAGTCAAGACCACTGACGCTTGCAACAAGTTTCGAAAATGAATTTCTTGGGTTCTCTGCCACGGTATCGGAACCAGTTTTCAATATCGATCACGACAAACTTCGTGTGTGCGCCCGGGAAATGGACAAGATTAAGGTGTGCGGATTGCCATACTGCGAATCGCTCTGGAGACGTATAAAGATGACGGAACATGCGTTATTCAACAGCTGGTTCAGCTTGGCGAAAACTGCTTTGTTGAAAGGTGCAGATGTTGAATTGATGTTTGCCTCAACCCTGGTAATGGACGGGAAAGTGGCGGTGGTGGAGCGTCAAGAAATCGGCGCCAACTCTCCTGATGTTCCAAGCTTGTTTAAACATTGGGCCGCCAGGAATCCCCACGACTTTGTAGGGCCTTGCAAAAAAGACTGGAAAGATGGAGTTGACGATTCAACCCGATATGGATATATTGCGGAGGAAGTGTGTCGAGACCGAACGTTTTTCATTACGGAAGCTGGTCGGCTAGGATTAGGTTCCGTTCACGTGTCACCCGGTGATTCTATCTATCTCATCCATGGGCTCAAAACTCCATTCGTGCTTCATCGCAAGTCTGGGATGGATATTCTTCGTGGAGAGTGTTATGTCTACGGCTTGATGGACGGAAAAGTACAACACTCGAGTGAAGACTCTGTTCTACACCTAAGATGAAGCCCAATACAGGAGTTGCATTTCCTAGATCGAGAATATGTTAAGACAAAGTCTAAATTTCTATTGCGAAATAGCAACCTCAACTTAGAGTCTTTCGTTTGCTGGAACCGTATCTTCGCCTCGTCTTGGTGGTTCGCTAAACTTCCGGGGGGTGACCACCCGTCCGGGATGTCACCACTATTTTAACACTAATCCCCCGCAACCATCCTCGTCACCGGAGCTCCCCACGGCCCTAGCACTTCACTCAGTTGTGTGCGCCAGCAGTAACCGCCCCCAATATCTAATAATAGAACATTCAAGCATGTGACCAATGGGTGCGCAAGCGCCAGACGCGGGGTAGCCCATAGGCCCGTTGCACAAAAGGAGGCTGACCAGTAATCAGATAGAGCGTGAACAAGGTCAAGGTCAGGCCAGGCTCGAGCGCGCTGCACAAGGTGCAGAGAGACTGGGCACAACTCACATACGTGCAAAAAAGATAGTGTAGGTACTGTTTAATCTACAACAGCAATATTTATACAGTGCTCTAAAAGTTAGTTGAGTTGTACGCTTGTGAAGGTGTAGAAAGTTGGTGGGGTCCAATTATTAGCCAGGTGGAACTTGATGGCGTTCGTGTAGTCCACGCAGTTCAATAGCTACCCGTTTTCTTTCTCGCAAAAAAATAGAAAGACCATCTTCTCCACGTTTAGACAAGCCTGTATTGCACACTCTCTTCCTCTTCCTGTTCGCCGAGATGGTAACTAGTATAGGTCGTGGCTTGACGCACTCTGCCCGCTCGAAATCAACCACCATCACTCGGCCCGTCTCCTCATTCCACAACAGGTTTCGAGGCATAAGGTCTTTATGCAAGATGCCAAGGTTGTGAATGGCTTGGGCGGAGCAGTCGACTTGTTGGATAACGGAAAGCCGGTTCTGGGCGGTGAGGTGTTGAGCGATCCGCTTCCCTCCAAAACTAAGAAACATCATGTGGACAAGCTCACAAATACCCTCGTAGAAGTAGGGGTTTTCCAGGTCTATGTTGCCTAGATGAACTGGCACATGTATGCCCTGGATCGGACGGAGGAGGTCATAAATGGTAGCTTCATGTTGAAGACGATGGACGAAGTCAATGGGAGTGCACTTGGCTGCTACCATGTACCCGTGCGACTTCAGCCGAACTTGGAATAAGACGCCGCAAGCGCCAGGCAGACTCACAGGCTTGCAGTCAGTATCTAAGTCGTTTGAGAGCTGTTGGCGTATACGAGTGAGGAAGGTCGGTGAATCGATCTGATGATGGCTTTCCCCATGATCTCGCACATTTGGGCACGACATGTCAAGTGAACCCCCTCGGACTAACCCTAGTAGGCAGTTTTGAGTGCAATACTGTCCACTTTGTCCTCTATGGGAACTCTGACTCCGCGAAGAGCTGTTGGTAGTGGCGTGTGTGCGAGGCAGGCGCGGGGGTGAAGGTTGCCGCCGGCTTGGAGTATCGGAGTCGGGTTCTTCGTCGCTAGCTGCGTGCTGATCCTGCGGTTGCGCGCAGCTTGAAGAGCTAATTGGGGTATGCCTCCGCCGGAGCTGGATAGGTGACATGCGAAGGAACTCGTTGTGGCGAGGTGGACGGTACTCCGATGATGGCGCATCTTCTACAGGGATAGTATCTAGCAGGTCTTCATACATAACCTCCCAGCCATGGAGTTGAGAGGCGGCGTCGGCACGCCATTTGTGGCTACGGGGCGGCGTCTGCAGCGCCTGAAGCGTGAAAGCTAGCATCTGAGCAACAGCTGTTAGATGCAGGCGATTTGTTCCGTCTAAGTCCGATGTCCATCCTGTGGTGTCCCCGACGTCCCCTTTTGGAACGGAAAGGAAGTAGTGAACCGTTCTAGGATCGTCAGGAATGCGTAGGAAGACGAAAGCTTCGCCAGTGCACACGCAACCATACTCTACCCCAAGTTTGACCATATAAGAAAATGCTTGTGTGATGACTGCAGCTATCAGCCGGCGAAAGTGGTCGCGAGGAGTATCCGTTTCGCGACATAGAATCACCTCCTCGAGTTCCATATCCCCCAAACCCTCGTATATATACCCGAGCGGCAGCTTGTGCGGAGGTTTGTATTCCGTGATAAAGGCCGCTACGCGAGTCTCTGTATTCTGAGTGCTGGTGTTGTAGACGCAGAACTGATCGGCTCGAGGACGGGACGATCGTGCTGTTTGGGGGCGAGGTGCGGCCACGGAGTTGTCTTGGGCCTGGGCCTGGGCCTGTAGGCGTGGTGACCGTCGTCGCTGAGCCCCGGAGATGGTCATGGAACCAATGCTCTCTAGTTGCGTTTCCGGGCTGAGGGTGTTGGCGTGATTCTCAAACTGTACCGAACCCTTGAGTCCAAACTTCCGTCGTAGTATTTGTTGGTCGTATAATCGTTCGATAATAGACGTTACAGGGTCGTCTACAGTGGAACGTTGGAAGAGATGCAAATCTAGCTCAGAACTCATCATCTTCCGTCGGATAGCTTCACCAGACTCTTTCAACGTATGCAGCGAGGTGAAGTGTCGCTCTAACGCGAAGTCAGACCCCATAAATTCCCAAATCGCTGCTTGTTGTGCTGGGAAATCCTCCCATAGAAGGAGCTTCTCAGGTCGAAGCTTGTTATTCGCATTCGCAGGGTCGCCCCGCGTCGACAAGGTCGCATCGGGCTGGACGGTGAGACCGGAGTATAGATGGTTGTGACAGGCGTCGAGAAACTCTGGAAGAGTCGTCTTGCGAGTTCTCTCTTCGGCCTTATTCTGCGCCTGCTCCGCGGCTTTGCGTCTGCGTTGTTCATCGAGGCGTCTGCGTTGTTCTTCGAGGAATAGCGTTTTGTAATCAGGCGACTGTTCAGCCATGGCGATAGTAGTAGGAGATACTCGGCAGGGCTCGTTGACGGCAGCTGTCTCGGCGTATTCCAGGGAGATAGTAGATGTTGAACTAGCAGATCAACACTAGCTGAATGATTTTGGGCTAGATGCTGTTCATGATAGGTAGGCGTGAAGGCTCAGGCTCAGCTTGTTTGTTTTGGTTCTGCTAATCTTGGCAGTTCTTGGAGCTCGGTCCAGGCGTCGCGCAAGTTACCGTAGCGCGACGCACCGACGTCAACATGCGCCCGTTCTTGTAGGTGGATGAGTATTCCGCACCTAGACTCACCACCCATCTCTTCATAACAATCCTACTGCTATAGCACATCCCCACATCTCCTCTGGCACGGTATTGTCTAAGCGCTGTTGCTACCCATTTGGCGAGTGGGTGCTGTGCAGGGGAATGCCATTGGTTGAATGCATGGTAACCGGCTTGTAGGCTTCTTTTGTCCCTGCTATAGGCCGCGTAAGTGAGCTCCATCGCTACCGACTAACATGCCCGCACTCGGAACATGCAGATACATGCACGCACCTGCGCCGCGCAGCTTACTCACATTGGCTAGTGCTGCAGCTGCAGGAGGTTTTCCCAGGCACGACTCGAGAAGTCAAAGGTAAAAAGGTAAGAAGCGTTGTAAATTAGTCTTTCCTCTCTTCCCCCCCCTCTATCGCATTATGATGCCTCCCTACGGCATTAAACACACCGTTACTCCAAACGGCGACAAACACATCATGTGGCGGTTATGAGGAGAAGCGGACCACGTGTGCCATCTGGCGTTGATCTGGTACTGCTTAGTCTAGGATAACCAGTATCTCTTACCTTAGATACGTCATGAATGCAGTCCCTGCCTGCGACTATATAAGAGGCGAGCACGACAGCACACAGAACACAGCCAGAGAGAAAAACATACAATATGTTGAGAATATCTGGGTTCAGTCCAGGTAGAAGGTGCTTGGGGGTCACATGATGTGCTGGTGTGGCAGGCACTGCCCGGTGGGCAATGGCATCCACCACAACAGCCTGAGAGCTTGACATATGACACGATAGTCAATACAATACGTTGCAGCCACCCCGCCTTGTCCCTCCTCCCACTCGGTTATCCATAGTAGTCATACTACTAGAGGGACCTTGTTCCAATAGGTTATGAGCCCGGTTGCCAAAACTGACGTCATTGTTTTGATCCCACCAGAGTCGCGCAGGACTCAGATTCAAGGAGGAATCAAATCACTACTAAGGTCGCGAAGGACCTAGCTACGATTCGCGGAAGGAATCGAACACCAACTAGAGTCGCGCAGGGCTCAGATTGGCGAGACAATCACCTATCCAAGTCGCGCAGGACTCAGATTCAACCTACATCTTCTCCACGCTTGAGAATCGACAACGACTGCCTGCACCGCCTGCACCGGCAGCATCATTGCCAGCATCACCTGCACCGCCTACACCAGCTGCATCGACTGCACCGCCTGCACGCCTGCAGTATACTACCTATACGTCCGAGCTTCTCTTACCTCTGATACACAATGGCTGAAGCAAAGGAGGAATGGAAGATCCCCAAACTTACGGCTGAGAATCACGATGCTTGGTTCCGCCGGAACAAAGTCAAGCTAAAAGGGAAGAGAGTCTTCTACGTATGCGAGAAGAGTCTAGAGAAGCACTGCCAGCTTCCTACTCCTGGGGACCTATCAGACGCTGTGAAAGAATTGGACATTACAGACAACAAGACTGTCAAGGTCTGCATCAATGTCGACATGAGAAACAAGTACCTAGAGGACGAAGCAACTGCAATCGACCTCCTGTTCAGATCCCTTAGCGATGATGACCAGGCCCTTATTGACGAGTACGACACTGCCTTCCAATTCTGGGCTTACTTGCGCAAGAAGTACACCTAAACCGACGCTACCGCCGCCAACATGTACATGACTAGGATCCAGACATTTACATTTGATTCTGAGAGCACAATTATTGGGTCATGGGAAAAGCTGAAGGATTACCGACGCAAGCTTGTGGCAGCAGATGCTGACACCAACGGAGCCTACAAAGACTCTGCACTGCTACTCATCCTTATTAGATCACTCCCAACGAGATTCAGGACTACAGTTGACGCCGTAAATGCACAGCTTAACCTCACTGTCGAACA